TTCTGCATGTTTATTGGGTCAAGTTTGTTAATCATATTGTCAGATTTTTCTATCAGTTATTGAAAGAAGCATATTAAAATCTCCATTTATTGATTTCTTGTTAATTTTTGCTTTATATATATTGAAATTATGTTGTTAGGCTCATGCTAATGTATACTTGTTACTTTCTACTTGACTGAACTATTAAGCACTTAAATATGAAAGGCAAAACTTTAAAACATATGAATAAAGCAGGGGAGAATACCTCTCAGGCCCCTGAGTAGAGAATAACTTTTTAACAGACACAAGGATTAACCACTAGGAGAAGATATTTGCAGTATGAATAACCAACAAAGGATTGGTATCTAGAGCACATAAATAACCCTATGAATCAATAAGAGACAAACAACACCATAGACATTTCATAGAAGAAGAAATTTAAATGGCCAATAAACTTATAAAAAGATGCTCAGCCATAGGGAGCTGGAAATGCATAACTATGAGATACCATTATGTATCCACTTTACTGGTACATAATTGAATTGCTAAAAACATAGATTAATGGGAACTGTAGGAATGTAAATTGGCATAGTCACTGTGACCAACAATTCAGCATTACTTACTTGAAGATGTGCATAACTTATCTGCCAGCATTTATTACATATATACCTAGAGAAATTCTTGCTCCCCTTTACCAGTACACCTTGGACAATAATGTTTATGGCAACATTTTTGCTAAAGCAACAGCAACAACCAAAACCAAACTAGAAACAACCACTTATTTATCAACAGTAGTTTGGGTATTTAAACTGTTGTATTTTCATAGAATGGAATACAACATAATTTTGAATTTCAAAAAAGCTAAGGAAGACAGAACATGATTCCATTCATTTAAACTTCAAAAAACAGGCATAAGGGGGTTCCCTGGCTGGCTCAGTTGGAAGAGTTTGTGACTCGAACTCGGGGTGGTGAGTTTGAGCCCCACATTGGGTGTAGAGATTACTTAAATATTTTTTTTTAATTAAAAAAAAACAGGCATAATGAATCTTTCTTTTTAGGGATACATATATATGTAGTAAAGAAAAAACTAAACAGTATGGTTGTTGGAAAAATATACCTATGAATTATTTTCAGAAAGGAAAAAACAGATACAAAATGTAGAATAATGATTACCTCAGGGCCTAGAGAGGGACACATGGGGCCTTAAAAGGTTTTGATACTATTTGCAAAACTAGATGGTCAATTAATGAGTGTTTTGTGTATCATTCTCTAAATTGCATATATATATTACATACACTCTTTTGTGTGTATTTTACAGTTTAATTCTTAAAAATAGGGCGCCTGGGTGGCTCAGTTGGTTAAGCGACTGCCTTCGGCTCAGGTCATGATCCCGGAGTCCTGGGATCGAGTCCCACATCGGGCTCCCGGCTCGGCGGAGAGCCTGCTTCTCCCTCTGACCCTCCCCCCTCTCATGCTGTTTTTCTCTCTCTCTCTCTAATAAATAAAATCTTTAAAAAAAAAAAAAATCAAGTAGGTCAACTTAGGAGGATTTTATCTAAAGTAGTTAAACAAATATTTGGCCTTGAATAAATCACCTTTACTCATCTGAAAAATTAATTTGTCCAGAGCATCTCTTTTCTTGGAAGTACTTGGTAATCCAGTATTACTTTTTTTCTCCTATATCTCAACTATGTTATACAACTGTGCAATATTGCCACTGCTGTTCTAAAAGTCAGTTTAATCCCAGAAAAGTGCAAGGCATTCTCCTTTTAAGGTTCTCACCAAGTGAATCCTAACCCACTGACTTTTCCTTCTACTTCGTATTTTTGTTACTAGCAGCCTCATCTCCTGTAGCCTGCGATAAAACAATATATAAGATAGCCCTAATCATAATTCTTAGTGAATACATTCAGAGTCTATTTCTAGCAGGAAAGTCTCGTATTGGTGTTTTATGATTCATACGCATTCGAAGGATTCCTGCCTTTAATTGTAATCTGAGTTCTACATAGAAGGATTGTTCAAATTATTCAGTATAGAATAACCAATTATCTGGGAAAACTGTGCGAAAATAAATTTGTGTCATCTATGTTAAGACAAATGCTGGAAAGTTAAGGTAGTATGTTAGAGAAAGTATTAAGGTGGATACCTACAAATAGTGGAAAATATGTATACATATTTTCTGTGGTCTGTCCTTGTTCCCCTGGTGATTTGAAAAAAAAATTCATTTTTTCCCTTTTTTAAAAAAAATTTTATTGTGGTATAGTTTATATCCCATACAATCTGCCCATTATAAGTACACAGTTCACTAATTTCTAGTATATTTATATAACTATGCAACCGTCACCACAAAAAAAACCATTCATTTTTAGGAGTATATTTACCAAATTCAGATTAGAATTTTTATTCATTCCTATTCATCTTTCACTATCTCCAACTTAACCACCACTTTTCTTTAGAATTTTCTCTTCCTATTCTGGTGAATATTAACCGCCCCTTTCTCTGAACTCTGTAGTTCTTGTCTATCCCCAAGGACAGACTTTAGATATCTATTATCTAGAACTTTGTATATACTTAATAGGTAGGAGCTAGGCCCTATTCTGGCCCCCAAACTCTGTCATACTACTTGAAATTCTCTACCACAGTGTCTAAAACCCTATAATAAGAAATATTACTTATTGAATATGGACTACTTGTTAGCTAGTAAGTAGTACCAGGTTGATGCTAAATTTTCTGAATTTGATAATTTAGTCCTGTGATTATGTAAGAGAGTATCTTGGGGGTGCCTGGCTTGCTCAGTCAGTAGAGCATGTGACTGTTGATCTGGGGGTGGTGAGTTCAACCCCTACTTTGGGTATAAAGCTTACTTTAAAGAAAAAAGAGTATCTTGGTTCTTAGGAGATACTCACTGACGTATTTAGGAATAAGAATCATAATGCCTGTAACTTAATCTGAAGTGTTTCAGCAAAAATAACATTAGCCATACACTACACACACAAAATCATATGGGGTGGATATGGGGGAGAGAGAATAAGAAAATGTGGCAAAATGTTAATAACTGATGAATCTGAGTGGGGAGTACAGAAGCGTTTATCATACAAAATGCCATTTTTCTGTTTGAATTTTTCTTAGAAAAGATTTTTAAAAATTCCTTTAGTTCAGTAATTCTCTGCCCTACCTGCACATTAATATCACCTGAGAGCTCTTAGAATTACAAATGCCCAGGCTCCACCTGCTAGAGATTTTGATTTAATTACTCTCGGGCGGGGTCCGAGCATCTTAATTTAAGTCTCTCCAAATGAACCTTTTTTTCTTTTCTTTTATGTCTTTTGAAACATGTAGCAAGGTTTCAGGCACAAAATAAGCCATTACATTCTGATTGAAGTGAATTTATTTATTTATTTATTTATTTATTTATTTAAAGATACAAAATTTGGGGCTCCTGGGTGGCTCAGTCGGTTAAGCGTCTGCCTTCAGCTCAGGTCATAATCCTGGGGTCCTGGGATCAAGCCCTGCATCGGGCTCCCTGCTCAGTGGGGAGCCTGCTTCTCCCTCTCCCATTGCCCCTCCCCCTGCTTGTGTGTGTGCTCTCTCTCTCAAATAAATAAAATCTTTTGAAAAAAAGATACACTATTTATTTATTTATTTATTTATTTATTTATTTATTTATTTATTTAGTAGGCTCCATGCCCAATGTGGGGCTTAAACTCACAGCGATCAGGAGTCGCATGCTCTACTGACAGAGCCAGCCAGGTGCCACAGATTTTTTTTTTTTTTAAGTAATTTCTTAAAAGTAGCCATAGTCATGTCATGGCTGTTTACCCAACTCAGCAGCTATGAATATGTGTATACTGTAAATGCCAACAGTACAGGAATATTACCTGTGGTATGTGTGTATCCTTCCCTTTATGATAAATAAGCTAGGGGGCTTTTACCCTGCCAAAGAGCTGTGCTAATTGTAATTTTAAAGGTCCAGTGCTGCAGGTCCTAGATAACACCCCCACAAAAAAAAAAAACAAAACCCTATCAGATATAGAGAATGAAGCCCAGTTAGATGGGACTTCGAAGGAAAAGAAGGGATAGTTCATCAAGGGTACTGCTGAGATAAATGATGCTAAAAACTTTAGACTTAGAAGGAACATGCTGGAGAATGAGTATACTGGAGAGGACAAGATGAAAAATACTGATATTTAAATTATAGGTAGGAATGATGAAAAGGACATAGTCAAAAGCAGACTGAAATACTTAAATATATTTGAGTACAGAAAAACAAGTACCTCCGTAGACAAATAAAGCAAGAAAAAGAGAGTGAGAGAGTCAGATTTGCTGGACTAAAAAGTATCTTGAGAGAATTCAAGACAAAATTATAAACTAGCACAGATGATTTCCTATTTTTTTTTCTATAAATCTCTGGGACAGTTTGGTTTTTTTAAATTACAGTAACAAGTTCTAGAAAAGAAATGTGTTGCAAAGTTTATATTAAAAGATAAATAGGGGGGTGTCTGGGTGGCTCAGTTGATTAAGCGTCTGTCTGCCTTTGGCTCAGGTCATGATCCTAGAGTCCTGGGATTGAGCCCCTCTTTGGGCTTCATGCACAGCGGGGAGTCTGCTCTTCCATCTCCCTCTGCTCCTCCCCCCGCTTGTGCTCTCTCTTTCTCTCAAAACGAATAAATAAAATCTTTTAAAAATAAAAGATAAATAGGAAGAAGAGTACACATATGAAAATTTATCTATTAAGAGTCTTGTGCTGAGAATAATGACAGCATAATAGAATTTCGGGACACGTTTGGAAAGGGTTTCCAAGCATCACAAACTGAAGTTGCAGTTTGCTCCAGTAACAATAGCATGATGATCATTCTCATGAAGAGTGGCTCCTTTGTCATAGAAGACCCCAGAGAAGTGGAAGGATATCTTGAAAAGCTCCAGTGAAATCCACTTAAGAAACTGAGAATGGAATTTAGTTTGCGAATCCTTTCTTCATTATTCCAGAGTTCCCCATAAACTGGGAAGAGAAACCAGTGAGACTGGTAAACTATTTTAATACCTCTTTAATAACACTCTGAATTTACACAATAGCATGACTAATTACTGTGGATGTAAGATATGCAAGGGTTCTTTATTCTCTCCACCATCATTAAGGCAAGGGCAGAAGTAGGGATAAAGTTTCTCCGTGAAAGTGCTAGTGAAGGTGTAAATGTGGGTCATGGTTTTAGCATTGTAGAAGGACACCTGCCCTCCTTCATAATCAAGGTATACGCCCACCTTGTTGAGGTTGTTAGTCAGTTTCAGGCTGCAAGATGGCAAATCCAGAGCCTTTAGGTCACTTTGGTTCCTTAGTCTTAAAAGCCAGAATCCTTGCTCAGGAGTTAGAGGACAGCTGCCCTTCCGAATGATGGATTCTCTGACGACTCCAACTGTCCATTTTGTCTTCTTTGCTACTTCTACTTCCCAGTACCACTTTCCAGATGTGAAGCCTTTTGAGCCCAGCACAGCCACACTTGAGTCAAACCTCTCTGGATCATCAGGCATTACCTGCTTAATGTCACCATGCCACACACTGGTTCGATTTTTGGAGAGCATCAGATTTGGGTGAGCTGTTTTAGGGTCCAGAGTTAATGAAGATAGGCCTAGTAAGAAAAGACAGCAGGGCATGGAAGAAAAGGGATGAATGCAAATTCCCATAATAAAAGACAGTATTTACACAGACATCAGTACTTTATCTTCCCATGCATATATACTCTTAGACAAGTAATTACTTATATACTTTTTATTGTTTTATACCCGTGTGGCTATATTCTAGACATTTTTTAATTTGTGGTACAAATCTGACTTTACTCTTTGTTGGAGCAATTTATGCTCCAACAAAGAAAACAATACAAATAATATCAATCTGTACTAATAAATTTAAGAAAATGCAAATGCCGAAGGCATAAAGATTAGGTAAGTTTGTCCTTGGAAAACCTTTTAAAGACAATAAGTATTTCAGTTATGAAATGTATTCAGGATGCATTGGGTAAACAGAGGCAAAAAGGAATGGGTTAAAAATAGTGAGAGGGAAGGTAAAGGCTTGCCTGTTAGAGGCAGGTAAGTCTGAGCTAACTGAGAGGGTTTAGAAGACAATGGTGAGAAATTTATATTTGGTTTAATAGATAATGGGACTTTTGAGATGTGTGGTTTATGCCACTGCTAATCAGAATGTGTGGTTACCAATCTGGGACAAAATAATACAGAAATTAAGAGTAAGCTCTTAGAATCTTTTCTTTCTTTCCTTCCTTCCTTCCTTCCTTCCTTCCTTCCTTCCTTCCTTCCTTCCTTCCTTCCTTCAGATTTATTTACTTATTTTAGAGAGACAGTGAGTGAGGAGGGGCAGAAGGAGAGAATCTCCATCAGACTCCCCGCTGAGTGAGGAGCCCAACCTGGGGCTGGATCCCATGACCCTGAGATCATGACCTGATCCGAAACCAAGAATCAAACACTTAATCAACTGAGAGCCACCCAGGTGCCCTGCTCTTAGAAAGTTTCATAGCAATCTGATAGAGTAATTTTATGTCAGTTGATCTAATAATTAAACAACTGGGCTTGCACTTTGTAATATTTTTTAATTCTACTTTTTTGGGTAATTAGTTTATATTGTCTTCCACAAATATATCAGTCCATGACAGGTTGAGATTTTAAAAACTGGTTCTTCATCACTGGTTATTTGTCTAGCACTGGTTTAGACAAGTAAGTGGGCAGCAGTGTAAAAAATTTCTAAATGAAGAGATGTTGGAAGCATATCAGCAAGGAGATAACACAAATTTTAGGTGTAAGGTAAGCAAACCTTGGCACAAAATTTGATAAAGGAAACAAAAAAACTATGTGTTCACGTAAGGGACACAGATACATATATGTATATATTTGTTGTTAATGAATTTATTTATCCTTGGAAGTGAGATCAATCCAGTCCAACTTTCTCTTCCCAGAGAATCCAGAGTCTTTTTTATCATCCCAAGGAATTCTCTTCTAATAAGAGACTTTGTAGAATCCTGACTTTTTTCATACAGGCTGAATCTTCCCTCCCTCACATATCCCCATTTGCCTTGGGTTGTTGCTCTTTCCAAGGTGAGGACTGGGATTTCTTTGGATATGTCCGACTCCTCACCAACATTTTTAGAACCCCAGTCTGCTGTTGTCACCAAGCCTCTCATACCTCCAGCTAATTCAGCCTGCCCTGGCTCCAAAGATTCCTAGAAGTCCGCTTTGCTTCCCCTCTTTTCTTTTCATACCATATTCGGTCCAACAGTAAATTCTGTCAACTCCACCTTTAAAATATATTCTGAGCCTACTCAGAATACAGATAGATAACTTTCACAAATACTGCTGGCCTGGAACTATTGCAATAGCTTTTTAACTGTTCTGTTTCTACTCTTGCCCATCTGCATCCTATTCTGCCATATGAATGAGATCATCCAGTTCTACTCAACACGCTCTTATGCTTTCCATCACACCCAAGATAAAATCTGGAGTCCTTACAGAGCAAACAGGACCTACATGATTTACCTACCTCTGTGACCTTATCTCCTAACACATACCTCCCTTACTTACTTTGATCCAATCACTTTTACCTTTTGGCTGTTTCTTGAATGTACCAAATTCATTCAGAATTTAGGGCCTTTACTGTTTCTTTCCTTGTCCTCAAACACTCTTTCCCCATAGGGTTCCCTCCTTTATATTATTCCAGCCTTTCTTCATGCAAGTTCAGTGAGAGGTTAGTGATAGAATCTGGGTAGGTATAGCAGTGTTCACTATAAAATTCCTTAAACTTTTCTGTATGTTTGGGAATGTCCATAGTAAAACATAGGGAGGGGGGAGTTAACTCCTCAAAGACTTTTTTCTGGCTAATATCAAAAATAGCATGTTCATCTATCCATCACTATTTGTACCCTTTTCCTACTTTATTTTTTCTCATGAATACTTACTTACTGAATGTACCTTGCTTGATTTGCTTGACAGTGGTTATCACTCTGTGAAATTATTTACTGTTTCATTATCCATTTCCTCCACTAGAATGTAATCTCTGGGAGGGTGGGGACTTTATCTGTTTTGTTTCCTCACATACCTTCAAAATTTGGAATTGTTCATAGGCATTCAAGTAACTATTTATTAAATAAATAAATGAACTTTAGAGTTCCATCTGAATCCTTGACACCCAACTAATTCCACCATGCCTCATATTCCTGTTCTCCTTGACCAAAACCCATAATGTAGACCCTTCCAATGATTTATCTTCTTATGTACTCTTATCCCTATTATTCTGTTCTTTGCTTCCTCTACCTTCACCCATCCTCCCACTGCTCCCACCCATCCCTTTCCACTCTGCCCTTTAGAACTCCCTCCCTAAATAACTCTCCTGCACCCTCGCTTTACAGAATTCTCTCATCACCATCTTACTGTAACAGAAGTCTGACTGGTTGTTCTCCAAAAAATACAACTTGAAAAGTTCATGAGACCATTTTCTAAATTCAGAGCCAGAGATCCAGGAGCCACCACTGCCATTTCTAGACCCCTACTCAAATCCTTATCCTTATGTAAAAATCACTCTTCTTTTGAGGCTCTTGTCATTCCGTCTCATATTATCCTCTATCTCTATTTGATGTTACTGTGTACAGACTTCCTCATTATACTCTCTGTACTTTGCGTTCACTTTACTCCACTACCCCAACTCCAGCCCATCATCCCAAGTGATTTCACTGTCTTTTGGATATAGCCATTTTTCCATTCTTGCTTTCTTGATTTTACTGCTAGTGACTTTTGACTCCATTACATTTCAGCTGTCCATATTAATGACCACATTCTGGACCTTGTAGTCATTGGGAACTATTCATTTTCTAAAATCCTTACACTCAGATATCCCATTCTCTTACATTTTATTTTCTCACTCTCATCTCCCCTACAACCATTACTTGACTTCATTAACAACTCTGGTCCCTTATTTCTCCTTATTATCCTAATCTGGCTGCTTCCTGGCTTAAAATCCTTCCCTAAACCACTTAGCATTGGCAGTTTTATTGCCAATAACCTTATCACTTTTATCCTTGTATCTGCAGCATCTGCCATGCAACTCTCCAACCCTGGATCTATCTAGCTATCAAAATTCACATGCTAATTCCTGACCATTGCAGGAGGAAAATCACAAAATTATACATGTAGATATTACTGCAGATTCATTATTTCCACTCTGTGCTTAACCATCAGCACTGCCTAGAACTCCTGCATTTCCCAATCAGACCCTCTCCAGTTCCTCACAACAGCAATTTCAGACCTGCAGTTCCCTCCTCAAACTTCTGTTCCATCACTTCCTTCCTTATTGCCAGGCAGATGACTTCATCTTCTGCTTCACAAAGAGACTATAGTACATCTTATAGGAATCCCTCATTTCTTCCCACTCATTCTGCAAGTTCCATCTGATAAAATTGTTTGCCTCTACCATTTTATCTCCTCTACATTTTCAGAGGAAACCGAGGAAAGTCAATACTTCTCTCTGCTAGATCTCACTCGCTCTTCCCTACTTCTGTCAGTTATCCCCTGTCTTATACCATTGGTTTCTGCCTTTCTATAGGCTGTTTTCCTTCACTGTGTTTTAAAAAGTTCTCTTTTGGAGTGCCTGGCTGGCTCAGTAGGAAGAGCATGTGATTCTTGATGTGGAGGTCATGGGTTTGAGCCCCACGTTGGGTGTAGAGATTACTTAAAATAAATAAAATGTTTTTAAAAGTCTTCTTTTGACTTTGTTGCCACATTCACATCTTCCCTTTTAGTGAAGCTTCTCTAGTGAGTGATCTATTCACTTCACTACTGCTTCATTCCAAATCACTCCTGAACCCTTTATAATATAACTTCTACACATTCCACTCTTTTAAAATTGCCCCACTGAAAGATAACCACACATACCAGTACACTCACAATCCTAGCAGCCAAAGTATATTAAGAATTTATACAACTTATACAACTGAATAGGAAAAGATATTTGCAAATGATATATCCTCTAAGGGGTTAATTTCCAAAATATATAAAGAACTTAGACAACAACAAAAAAACAAATAATCCAATTTAAAAAATGGGCAGAGGACCTGAATAGACATTTTTCCAAAGAAGACATACAGATGGCCAACAGACACGTGAAAAGATGCTCAACATCATTAAGCCTCAGAGAGATGCAAATTAAGACCACCTTACACCTGTCAGAATGGCTAGAATCAATAACCTGAGAAATAACAAGTCTTGGAAGATGTGGAGAAAATGGAACTCTCGTGTACTGTTGGTGGGAATGCAAATTGGTGCAGCCACTATAGAAAACAGTATGTTGTCTCCTCAAAAAATTAAAAATAGAATTACCATATGATCCAGTAATTCCACTACTGGGTATTTACCCAAAGATTATGAAAACACTAATTTGAAAAGATATATATGCTATTGTTTATTGCAGCATTATTTACAATAGCCAAGATATGGAACCAACCTAAGTGTCCATTGGTTGATGAATGGATAAAAAAAGAGGTGGTATATATACAGTGGGATATTACTCAGCCATAAAGAATGAAATCTTGCCATTTGCAACAACATGGATGGATCTAGAGGATGTAATGCCAAATGAAATAAGTCAGAGAAAAACATACCATATGATTTCACACATATGTGGAATTTAAGAAACAAAACAAATGAACAAAGAAAAAAGAGACCAGAAAACCTTTTTAAAAAAAAAAAAAGATTTTATTTTTAAGTAATCTCTACACCCAACATGGGGGGCTTGAACTCACAATCCTGAGATCAAGAGTTGCATGCTCCACCGACTGAGCCAACCAGGTATCCCAAGAAAACAGACTCTTAAATACAGAGAACAAACTGGTTGTTGCCAGGGGGGGATGGGTGGGAGAATGAGTGAAATAGATAAAGGGGATTAAGAGTACACTTATCTTAATTAGCACTGAGAAATATATGAATCATTGAATCATTTTATTGTATACCTGAAACTAATACAACACACGATGCATTAATTATCTTGAATAAAAAAATAAAATTGCCCTTACCAAAGTCCCAATTCCTGTTAAAAATATCTCTTTCCAATCATTTTCTTTTTTTTTTTTTCTTAGAGCGGGAGAGAGATGGTGGGGGGTCGGAGGGTAAAATGGGAGAGGGAGAGAGAGAATCTTAAGCAGGCTCCACGCCCAGCGTGGAACCCAAATGCAGAGCTTGATCTTACAACCCTGAGATCATGACCTGAACTAAAATCAAGAGTTGGATGCTTAACCAACTGAGCCACCCAGGTACCCCTCCAATCATTTTCTAAATTGGTCTTCCCGTTTGGCATGAGTGACTGCTCCCTTCTTTTTGACACTGTCTCTCCTTAGATTCTGTGTCAACTTTGTTTCCTGGTGTTCCTCTTACCTCTTTTGCCAAAATTCCTCAATCTTTTTGGGAGGCTTCATTGCCCTTTTTTTATTTTTATATAAGATGCTCCCTCCTTAACTGTATGTTCTCACTTTTCTTGGGAAATCTCATTTACAACAGTAGCTTCAGCCACCCCATCATTCTGATTATTCCAGCCCTGGCCTCTCTTCTGAGCTTGTTAGAATAGTTACCCATTTGAATACATTCACTTAGTTTTCCTATAGGTCCTTCAACACAACATGGTCAAAATTGAACTCCTCAACCCCCTCCAAAATCTGTATCTCCTATAGCTCTATCCTTGACATTACCTTTCTCTATCCCCTACTACCAATTCCTGTCCAGTATATTTCAGCTTCTGAAATTCTGTCTCTAGAATCTATTCTTTATTTTCCATTCGTGTTCCTATGCCTTTGGCTTAGCTCTTAATAACTTTTCACCTAGGTAGCTGGTATAGACTCTACTTTGGTCTTTTAGCCTCTTCGTCCTGAGAACAGAAACTGTGTCTTTTATTTCTATATCCATTGAATCCAACTTAGTGCTTAGCACATAGTAGGCTCTCTATAAGAGTGTGTTGAATGAATGAATGAACTTCGGTAATATTTTACTGATACACGACTAAAAGAAATATATTAAAGAGTTTTAAATTGAATTATTTCTGGGGCGCCTGGGTGGCTCAGTCATTAAGCGTCTGCCTTCGGCTCAAGTCATGATCCCAGGGTCCTGGGATTGAGCCCAGCGTCGGGCTCCCTGCTCAGCGGGAAACCTGCTTCTCCGTCTCCCCCTGCTTGTGTTCCCTCTCTCGCTGTGTCTCTCTGTCAAATAAATAAATAAAAATCTTAACCAAAAAAATTGAATTATTTCCTACACTGGAATTGATAAAACTACAACCAGCAAGCCAAATGTGGCCTGACGCCTGTTTTGTAAATAAATTTGTATTGAAAATGTTAATTGAAAATTGAACACATTAACAGCCATTCATTTACACATTGTATATGGTTGCCATTTCACTGCAATGACAGTTAAGTAGTTAAGTTTTGTGGAAACATACAACCCACAAAACCTAAAATATTCACTATCAGGCCATTTATTAAAAAAGAACCAGCCTCTACCCTGAATCAATAACTTCTATTATAAGGCAGGAATGGAGAAAATATGAGCCTAAAGAATAAACAAAGATCTAGAAATAAAAGTATGAAGTATAATTTACCAAGGTTTGACCAAAGTTACATTATTAGTAAAATAGCCATAGATTAAATGAATCTCATTTGATTTTCTTAGATGTAGACTTATACCAAAAATAAAGAAAAATCAGTTTGTGCTTTAAATGATTGCTAGAAGTGAACTTTGATTTTACAGAGTGAAGAATACAAGAAGAAAAACTTAATGTGATCTGAACACTGCTAGAATTTGCAGAGTAGAGTAACACAGAAGAGGGAGCTATACAAAGATTTTCAAATATCTACAAAGGGATTCCCTTAAGGCTGTACTGATGTGCAGTGAAACTAATTAGGGCCAGTGAAAGAATCTCTAGAAAGCAGTCGGCTGAACAATTTCTAGAGCTCACACAAGTCTGGCAATAGTTTTCAATCCTGCCAGCCATAATGGGAAAATGTTGTAATATGTGGAACATCAGGCAGAGTACTCAGAAAGGTATTACATTAGGAAATGGACTAAGTTAGCCCTAGATTAAAGACTGCTCTTGAACCACTCTAGCAAAACTTAAACACCTCAACAAAGCTTAAAGGAAGTGTCAAAAGGAAAAGGGTTATTTAACTACATGCCAAAGTTAAATCCAGTAGAACTTAAAGGATTACAACAAGATCCAGTGAACAGCAATGTAAAATTGATCATCTGTGGCATTCAATAAAAAATTACCAGCCAGAAGAAACAAATCTCCCATGCAGAAGAATTCCAAATAATTTATGTAGATACTCCACACTCCTTAAGTGTGGGCTGTGCATAATGACTTCCTTCCAAAGTGTAAAGGGGTGAGGGAGTAACTTTATAGTGGGAAACCTGACAAACACTACCTCAACTAGGACAGATGGTATGAGTAAAAACAAATATCAAGGTGCTAGATTTAAACCCAATCATATTGATAATAACATTAAATGTCAGTGGTCAAAACACCTCAATTAATTAAGGGATTGTCAGATTGGATTAAAAAAAAACACCAGGCTTTACATGCTAGCTACATAAAGTGCACTTAAAATATAAAAACACTAATAAGTTAAAAATAAGATGATGGAAAAAGATTCACTGTGCTGTGATGTATCCATAAAACATGATGATTGATATATGCAACAACATAAGTAGATCTCAAAAAGCATTATGCTAAGTGAAAAAAGCTGGACACAAAATATTACATAATGTATGATTCCATTTATTTGAGAGTTTAGAAAACTGAAGTGAAATAAAGCAGATCTGTGAGTGTTAGGGGCTAGGGAGAGAGTGAAGGAACTGACTACAAAGGGATATGCAGGAGTTCTGGGGGTGATAGAAACGTTTAGAGATGTTTACAGAAGTTGATACATTTGTCAAAACTCATCAAATTGTACACTTAAAATTGACATATTTTATTCTATATTAATTAAACCTCAGCAAAACTGTGTTTTCAATGTCAATTACTCGGAATATTTGTTAACAGGAACAAATTTGATTTTCATTAAATCAGTAACTACAAACAATAGTAATAATGATTCTATGTGAATTAAAAAATATATTAAAAAACTTTATTTAAAAGTTTATTTTATAAATATTATTTAGATGGGGCGCCTGGGTGGCTCAGTCGTTAAGCATCTGCTTTCGGCTCAGGTCATGATCCCAGGGTTCTTGGGATCGCGCCCCGCCGCATCGGGCTCTCTGCTCAGCGGGAAGCCTGCTTCTCCCTCTCCTGCTCCCCCTGCTTGTGTTCCCTCTCTTGCTGTCTCTCTCTCTGTCACATAAATAAATAAAATCTTTAAAAAAATAAATATTATTTAGAACTTTATTTTATGTTCTTAAATTGTCATTTGTGTTCTTTTCTCCTGCTCAGTCCCTTGGTATCTGCAGGATAAACAAAAACTTGTGTCCTTATTCGGCACATCTATTGAAATTATTGGTTTTCTTTTGAAGCACTGAAGATCTCTAAACAGTCTCCTAAAAAGTTATACTCTACATTATGAACACCAAACACAAGAGGATCTATAAAGACTCTATTATATACAAGAGTATGTACAGTAACCTCCTCGTTCAGGACAGAGAAGCCCAGGGATTTATATAACTGATTTATAAAAACAGGATAAAATAACTGGTTGTCACATTTGATAGAACAATGAAACAAAGGCTGAGAAGTAATTCTCACATCAGACTAGTTACCAGTGAAAAGTCATAAATTCTTAGGTCATGGTACCAGAAGAAATTCAGTCATACTGACTGAAGTCATACCATAGTCTTCTTTTGGCTAAACTCCACCCTTCCCCCATCCCAAACTCTATAGTACTAATTAGGGCCACAGAAGAGGTCCCACAAAAGGAACATAGATTCCTGGGAGACCCAGGAACCAATAACCACTACCCACTGATACCTGGAGAGAGAGAAAACTGCATTTCCCTCCACATCATGTATTGGATGGGACCTTTGTACAGGCCTGGGTTCAGCTTTCTGGAGATAAGCTCTCTGGGCATCAGCACCTTCATTCCTTGTTCCAAGCTGAAGGGGACATAAATCATTTATTCTTAGACATCCTCCAGGGACTGAAGGAAAGATATTAATACCATACAGAAACACTTACCTATCCAAGAGAGATGAGATATCCTAGAAGAGGAAAGGAATAATAAAGAAGTTAGATGCCTGCTTATCAACACCAGAAATTTCTTTGGTGATACTGGCCACCACCAGAATTTGACCATAAATACTGGGATCCTGGGCAGATGTCCCCATTCCATCACCACCAACTCTTCCCATCCTCCATATGCCTTTTCTGATCAGGTATCCTTCATCTAACCCAGGACAAACTGGCTTTATCTTATTCTGATTTTCTAGAGTTCCCTTTTACATGGAAAAAGAGAAATTAATAGTTAGGCCATTTCTGCCTATACTGCTACATGGTTTCAATAGAAAACCACTATAGGTCTTCCAGTCCCAAAGCCACTTTTCCTTACTCTGGCTCAGTAAACTTCTGATTGTTGAGGTGATAATCAATGACACTTTAGAGGTCAAGCTTCAGGTAGTAAAGACTGGCAAACACCTTTCAAATAGGTCAATTGAAAGCCAGCCTAAGATACAAATCAGGTTGCAACGTTCTTATTTTTGAGAAATAAACCTTCAAAGTTCTTCATGAATAAATATAAAAATATTAATAGATACCATTATTAATGGCATTATCTTTTTTAGGAGGGTGAAAATAAAGCTTCCTATTGGGTGTAAGGCAAAAGTAGCCTTCTGCTTTTCTCCCAGAGAATCTAAAGAGCACTACAGTGGGGTTTTTTCCCCCTCCTGGTGGGGAAAAGCTGCTTCTACATCTTTCTAACCCTCTTCCCCCAACTAGTATATCCATAATTATGTTGATAGGGAGTCTCACTTTGAGAAAGTCGAAGGGATTCTGCTGTTCCATCCGTGCCTGGATGCTCACCAACATCTCCTTGGCTAGGAGACACTGTTCCTGAAGCTGGTTCAGATTCAGCTCCATCTCCTCATTCAAGGCTTTCCCCTCTTCTCGGAGCTCATTTAAAATGTTCTTTTCTTTGCCATGCAGGAACTGATGTAGCTTTAGAAACTCCAAGGAGATGTGTTGCTGCAGATGTAGCTTGTTTTCCTGGAAACCTCCATGATCATCACCATGGTAATTACTGAGACTAGCACTTGGGGATGGGGGTCCACACCACCAGTACTCATACAATTTGGGAAATACCATAACAGGAAGATGCATTAAAATGGCTCTTGAGTATTATCACTCAACTATATTAAATAGTAGGAGTCCTTTGGGAGACTTACTTTGTTTTTCTCAGTTAGTTTAATAATAGTTCAGGAATGAAATAGTCAAAAGTGGTCTCTAGGTACCTATTGCAGTACTGGGGGTGGTAACCAATGCCATATTAAATAAGGCTGTGGGGTTAATTAAACATTCTAAAATGAATGATAGTACCCTCCTACCCAGAAGTGATGTCTACCAAGTGATGCTGTTAAACTGGGGCCATAAGGAGGCTGAAAGAACTATTCTTATCTAGAAATCAGAGCTGGGGGGATGCCACTTCCACTGCCAGGACAATATAGAAGAAACAGGAGATGGACAATGTCTGAAGCACTGAAATTGATAACTGCTATACCCCTTTCTTAAGGTACTGCAACATCCTTCTGACATCCAGGCTTCTCAGATCCTTATTCTCCTCATTTCTAGTGATCTCCACCTTTATCTGCTCATTCTCTTAATCACCCAGGACTTTATCATCCCCAGCAATTTCACCAAAACTAACTTCTTATGCTCATTTACTCAGGTACTTCTATTGCAACAATTCCTGGGTCTCAGCATAGATTAGTTCTTCATGTATATGTTCTCATGGTACCCTTTATTTTCATTTATACTAATTGTCACAGTTGTCATTTTATTGCTATTAATGGGATTACTTAGTCCCATTAATCCGTCTCCCACCCTAGTGTAATATGGTATCTAGTGTAATACCTTACCACTCAATAAATAATTTTTGAGTGAATGAATGTTGACTGTAATAGCTGAACTGGAAACTCTTACAACAGAAACAACATTCTCTGGAGACATCATTATTTCCATCTATCCTTCTTCTTTCCCTCATTGTACATATTTCTTCTTCCAGATGCCAAAAGCCAGAGAAGATTCTCCTCCATAGAATAATTAGTGAAGAAATAGAAGCCCCAATTTAGCCCCATAACCTAGGGACTGCTTTGCCAAGTTTCTGACTATTAATGTTCTCCTAGAGCTCCTGTGAAGCTCTAGGCAATAGTTTATTTAGTTTGGGGGAAGCTAGGAAAGATCAAATTGGATGGTAAAAAACCAGCAATCCGAGAGACCTTCAATCAGAGGTAGCCTGGTTATAAACCCAAAGAAAAGAAATGTATTTCTTTGGACATAATAATCTTTAGTGGATTTTTCTGATAAATCCCTTATTTTGCCATATATAAAGGGAAAGATCAGACAGATCTCAACCTCAGATCAATCACCTAGTGATTGAGCCATCAGAAGCATCAGCCTATAACAGAAAGGTCAGTCTGCTCTCTCTGTTGATCAACCATTGAGAACTTATTTCCCTGCTATATTTCTTTCCACCCTTCAGTGTCTATTTTCTAATTCTGTAGCCCAGGTGCCACTTAGTGTATTCATAATACACGTACAGGCACCTTTCTACTCATATAGCTGAAGTTACAAGGAAGGTGTTTCAGTTCTATCTCATAACCCCTCTACCCTGCTTCTCACCTTGTAAGCAGCTATAGCATCTTTCTGCATATTCTTCAGGGACTGAAGTTCCTTCAGGGTTGCCTCCAGTTGACCTTGATGGGTGGTGAGCTCCTTCTGGGGATACCACACAGAATTAACCCACACTAACTTGGGAGATGAAGGACCATAGGGCTATCTCTCCTAAAGCCCCAGGGTGTGAGGAAAAAAAAGTGAGCTATTGCTGCAAGTCTTTCATTTCCCCTAAGGCATAATTCCTGTCTCTTCTAAGAATTGTAAAGAAAATAAAAAGCAGCAGAAAAACTGAGTTTTATGCTCTTATTGGCTTACTACAGGGGTTTGGAGAAGATTACATTTTTTTACTCTAGTTATACTGTTCTCACTAACTATACTTTTACTTACATTGTTATCATTTAGGATACTCATTTCTTTCTTCTGCCCATTCAAATGCAAATGATTTCCCAATTCAAGCTTTCATTCACCATACATCCCCTATTTCAGTTTTCTCTAATATTCTTTGAAAATCTAAATATTTATGAATTACAAATATTACAAAACCTAGCTCTCAATAGTAGACTATCTTGCTTCTGTTGTTTTATTCATTTTAAACTTGACTAAATTTCAAGACTTTTATAACAAGAGCAATATCTTGTACGTCCATATTCTACACAGCATCTAGCAGAGTGCTGTCATGGCAGGGTATAGGTAAATAAATATTTGATTGATTGAGGGAGTAGGCCAGAGCTACTCCACTGCTCCTTTCCTATAATCAGCAACTCTAGAAAAGAACTTTGCAAGATATGTTATATTTTCTGAGCTTACTAATAATCATCTGAATAAAGGGGTGGGGTTGAAAGAAAGAAGAAACCCTACAAAAGATTTTTCCCAGCTTTCCTAAGGCATTATTCAAGACCTAGGGCTCACCCACCATGAAGAAACGGACAGCATCAGAGATCTGCAGGAAATCTTTAGACTGCCCCACAGATAACCGAGCATCTTTGCATTGAAAGCAGATCAGTTTCCCATCTGGCTTACTGAATAGTTTCAGGTTCTCTCCATGCTCTGGGCACTGTGGATGGCCCTTGAGTAAGGGTAGCTTCTTAATCTTCTCTACCAGCTTCTCGAGTACAAGGTTGAACGTACAGTTGCTATATTGACATAGCATCTTACACTCAGGACAGAATGTTTCTGCTTGCTGCTTCCAAAAGTTTTGGATACAGGCCTGGCAGAAGTTGTGGCCACAGCTTAGCATCAATGGATCATGGAACCAATCATTACACAGTGGGCAGTGTAGATCCTTAGTAATATCTTGTATCTGCACTTTAGAGGGTATCTGGGTGATCAGATCATGCACTTCCCCATAGTTGCCTGGGTCGATGTTGGAGGAGGGTCTGGAAGATACCTTTGGGAAAGAACAACTAAAATAAGTTTCTCTTTCTTGCTACCCATTTCAGCACTCCAGGAGAGTGGGCTCCATTCTTAAAGGAGCTGTGAATAGGTGCAGCCAGAGTAAAAGCACCAGTCTCCTCTTTGAAAGTGATCTGATAAATTCATCATTTTCAAACGTTATTTCTACTCCCAACACTATTTCAACTTCAGTGGAGAGCTAAGGCAGAAGAAAGAGTACACAAACGAAGAGTGCTTTTTGTTGTACATTCTTCTTTCCACCCATTTTCCCCATGTATTACTTAAAAGTTTTACTTTCAACTTCTGTTCTACTAGTTATTACTTTTTTGTTTTGTTTTCTAGAAGTCATATACAAAGAATTGGAAGATCAGTCAGATTCCTCAGTGATATAATATCACCAACCATAATATAATCCAGACTTTTCCTCCTCCTTTTTTAAGAACACATTACAGAAATCACATGCATATAGAAAAATGCAGAATCATGCATACAACTCAATGACTTTTCACAAAATGAACACATCTGTGTAATCATCACCCTGAACCGGAAACGGAAAACTACCAGCATTCCAGAAGTCCCCCATATGCCTGCTTCAAGTCACTATCCCTCATCAAGGTTGACCCCTATCTTGACTTCCAACACTATACACTAGTTTTGCCTGTTTTTGAATTTTATATAAATGCAACCATGCACCATTTATTCTTTTGTTGCTGACTTCTTTTATCAAGAAATTTGTGAGATTTTTACATATTATTCTATGTAATTGTAGTCCATTCATCCTCATTGCTGTATAGTATTACATTGTGAAAATATACCATAATTTATTTCTCCATTCTACTGTTGGAAGACTTTTGGGTAGTTATCAGTTTCAGGCTATTATAAATACTGTTGCTGAGAACATTCCAGCTCATATATATATATACATATATATATAAATACAAGTGTGTGTGTGTGTGTGTGTGTGTATATATATATATGGATTTGTTTTGCTTTCAACATAACTTTTGAGATTCATCTGTGTTGATACACATAACTGAAAGTCATTCATTTTCACTTCCATATAATATTCTATTGATGAAAATTTATTTACTCGTTTTACTGTTGATAGCCAATTGGACTGTTTTGGTGTTTTGCCATATAACCAATGCTACTATGAACATTCTTTCACATGTTTCCTGGTGTGTATACACATATATGCAAGGGTTTTTCTAGGTTATTTAATGTTAAACCAACTTTTCTTTCCTGGAGCTAACCTATCTTGATCATGATATATGTTTTATGTATTACTAGATTTAGTTTGGTAATATTTTATTTAGGATTCAACCTCTATGTTCATGACTCAGATTGCTTTTAATTTTATTTTCTTAAACCATCCTTGTCTGGTTTTCTTATCTAAGTTATACTAACTGCATAAAAGTAATTGGGGAGTGTGCCTTCTTTTTCTCTTCTCTGAGTTTGTGTAAAAATAATAGAATTATCTGTTCCTTGAGTATTTGGCCAAATTCACCAGCATAACTTCTGGGATTGATGCTTTGTTTTTTTATTTTGCATTAGCTGGAAGTACTGATTTACTTCTTGAATAGTTATGGGATCATTTAGATTTTCTATATTTTTCTGACACAGTTATGGTAATTTGTATTTTTCTGGGAGTTTACTTTGCCTAAGTTTATAAATGTATTGGTATAAAACTATATTCTCTTATTATCTTTTTATTGTGAGATATAGATACATAAGAGTATATAAAGCATTGATATATATTTTAAATAATAATAACAAAGCAACACTTTGTAATTACTACCCAGGTTAAAAAGTAAAACACTAATTGCCAATACCTTTGATGACCCCTGTGTGTTCTTTTCCAATTGCGTATGTCCCCTTTTTTCTCATAGCCAATATTCTGCCTTTTGACTTGAACATTACTATACTTTTCTCTATTATTTCATCATCTATGATTGCATCCCTAGCTAATACAGTGTTTAGTTTTTTCTTCTGTTTTGAACTTTATGTAAATGGAATTATACGGTATGTATCTTTCTGTAACTTGTTTTCCTTTTTTTTTTTTTTTTAACATTATGTTCGTAAGATTAATCCATGGAGAAGCCATGCAACTGTTCCTTTTCAATTATATATAGTATTTCATTATGTGCATATACCACAATGTATGCATCCAGTCTACTGTTAGTAGACATTCATTTCAATTTTTCTGACTACTACACACAATGCTTTTAATAATATTCTTGTATGTGTCCCTTTGTGAACATGTATAAGAGTTTCTCTAGAACCTATACCTAGAAATAGAATTGCTAGATCATGAGATACGCATCTCTTCACCTTTACTAGATAATACCAAACTGTTTGCCAAAATAAATGTAGCAATTTACACTCCAGTAGCAGAGAAGGAGAATTTTGGTTATCCCACAGCCTCATCAACACTTACTGTTGTCAGATTTTCTAATTTTTGCCACACCAGCAGATGTGTAATTGTATCTCAGTAGAGCTTTAATTTGCATTTCTTAGATTACTAATGCAGTTTAACATTTTTTCACATGTTAGTGGATCCTCTTTTGTTAAGAGAAGAAATGTCTAAGTCTTGCTCATTTTTCTAATGAGTTGTCTTTTTCTTACTGACTCAGAGTAGTTCTCTATATATTCCAGATAGTAGTCCTATTTTTTAAATATTTATTTATTTATTTATTTATTTGAGAGAGAGAGAGTGCGGTGGGGACAGAGGGAGAGAGTCAAGCAGACTCCTGGCTGAGTGCAGAGCTGGCTGCAGGGGTCAATCCCATGACCCATGAGATCATGACCTGAGCCAAAACCAAGAGTTCAACACTTAACCGACTGAGCCACCCAAGCACACTGATACTAGTCCTATTTTGGTTACTTGGGTTATAAATATCTCCTTCCATCTCTCAGTACATGGCTTATATTTTCACTCCCATTATAGTGTCTTCCCATGAATAGAAGTTCTTAATTTTAGTGTAATTCAATATTTATCTATTTTGTATTTTGCCTAGATTAAAGATGAGTCCCTCCAGGGAATATTTATGTTTACTTCTTGAAGATGTAAGTTACTACCAACCATCCACCATTTTATGTTAATTTTATTGGTTTTCAAGTCTCTAGATCATAGGGAGATTGTAAATTTTACACCTACTCCTGTGTGAGGGCAAGCTGTGGTTAAAAATTCTCAAGGGAGACTCTTATTTTTCACTCAGACCCCAAATCAAGATAGTTAGGATTCTTTATTATCTCTCATTTCCACTCCTTCACCAAGGCTGTAGCTCTTCAAATGTCCCAGCTTTATTCAAAAGTCTCAGGTCCAACTCCTTACTTCGTGCAGGTCTAAGGATTGTTAAATCTGAGTTTTCCTGAGTCTCAGTACTCTAACCTACCTTGATGCTTTTCAGTTCTATATTCTTTTTTTTATTTTGGAATTTCTCTTTACTTTCTTGTACATTCCAGTATGCATGTCAAAGGATGTTTGTTACATCTTAACTGACATTTCTGGGTGTTTTATAGTGGTAGGTTTTCCAGGAAAAATGGTTAACAGCAGGGTTGCCTGGCTGGCTCAGTTGGTAGTATGGGACTCTTGATCTCAGGGTTGGGAGTTTGAGTCCCATGTTGGGTATGGAGATTATTTCAAAATAAAATCTTAAAAAAAAAATCATTCACAGTATTGCCTGAAATGGAACTTGAAGAGTATATCTTCAAGCATTTCTTTTTTTTTTTTTTAAAGATTTTATTTTTATTTGACAGAGAGAGACACAGCAAGAGAGGGAACACAAGCAGGGGGAGTGGGAGAGGGAGAAGTAGGCCTCCCGCGGAGCAGGGAGCCCAATGCAGGGCTCGATCCCAGACCCTGGGATCATGACCCGAGCCGAAGGCAGACTCTAAACGATTGAGCCACTCAGGTGCCTCTCTTCAAGCATTTCTTAAAGAAAGGATGAATGGGGAGTATATTCCATTGGAATAATTTCACTTCCAGTAATAATAGCCTGATTTTGTCCTATCATTTGAATGATTGTATAGATTTCAAATTTTAGGTTCCAAATGTTTTCCTCTCAGTACTTTATGGACATTTTCCATTATTTGCATTTAATGTTGCAAATGAGAAATTCAGTGCCAGTTTAATTCTAATTTATTTTAGGAATGAGTTTCTTTCCCTCTAGAAATGTGTAGCATTCTCTTTTCATCTTTACATTCAAAATTTTTAGCAGAATGACTCTAAGTTTATTTCTCTTTTCAGTATTTCTCAGTATTAAGTGATCTTTTCAGCCCTAATCAGTTAAAACATTATTTAGCTAAAAAAATATTATCAGATAATTTTTATTTAACTTTATTGGTTATGTCTTCCTGTTTATCTTCTGTTTTCTTCCTTTAGAGTTTATACTAGATGGACATTAGATTTACTACATCTAACTTCTGTGTTTCTTAATTTTTCTCTAAAGCTTCTTTTTCGCTTTATTTACATCCCAGGAGAATTTTTAAATTTGATATT